CTAAATTAGGTCAGGTAAGCCTATCATTCCCACAGCCTGTCAAAGTTTATCTACGTGTATTGTATAGAATACATTTTCTAGGGTTAAAGGTCTTGGTACTTAGAAGTAGCACAGTTTGTTTTAATTTTTCTGTTTTATGTATGGAGAAACTAGAGCTTAAGGCTATAAAAATAACATCAGAAGTAGGGCAGGATCTCTTTTTCAGCCCTTTCACTTCCTTTAAAAAAAATGCTGTCTTATCCCTTTTGTGTATATCCTCCTATGAATGTGTTCTGTGTATCCGAAACAATTAGAAATGGTCAGACCAGTATAATTTTTCTAGTTTTTTTTTCCCCCCTTTTTCTCTTTGTTATAGCTGGAGAATCGACTTACAGCAATGATATGAAGAATGATATATTTTAAATTTCCAAACCCCATGAGAAGGCTAAGATGGCTTAATTTTGCTGTAGCAAGAAAACATGAGTTTGAAGGACTAATGACTAGGATGACCTTAAAAGCTAAGAATAAGGTTTTTCAATCATACGCCTGTATGATTCACTACTGCACATATCAATCATGTAATAAATGGATGAAGTCAGGCAACAAGTAAAATAATAGGTATTATATATAGTCTAGACTAGTACCTGAAGCCCAGTGAACTCGGGGGAGAAGGAATGCAAAAATATTTTTGTAGACTGTAGTAGTGGTTGTATATTTGGTTCTGACCTATTCCATTTTCATATGAAAGTGAGCATCACAGTGACTTTTCACTTTTTACAATATCATTGTACTTTTAAGTTTTTCTTTAGTATGTGTTGTTTTGCCTCTGTCTGGTCCCATTTTTTTTTTTTTTTTTTTTTTAACATCTTTATTGGGGTATAATTGCTTTACAATGGTGTGTTAGTTTCTGCTTTATAACAGAGTGAGTCAGTTATACATATATATATGTTCCCATATCTCTTCCCTCTTTGTCTCCCTCCCTCCCACCCTCCCTATCCCACCCCTCCAGACAGCCACAAAGAACCGAGCCGGTTTCCCTGTGCCATGCGGCTGCTTCCCACTGGCTATCTACCTTACGTTTGTTAGTATATATATGTCCATGTCTCTCTCTCGCCCTAACACACCTCACCCTTCCCCCTCCCCATATCCTCAAGTCTGTTCTCCAGTAGGTCTCTGTCTTTATTCCTGTTTTACCCCTAGGTTCTTCATAACATTTTTTTTTCTTAAATTCCATATATATGTGTTAGCATACGGTATTTGTCCTTCTCTTTCTGACTTACTTCACTCCGTATGACAGACTCTAGATCTATCCACCTCATTACAAATAGCTCAATTTCGTTTCTTTTTATGGCTGAGTAATATTCCATTGTATATATGTGCCACATCTTCTTTATCCATTCATCCGACGGCGGGCACTTAGGTTGTTTCCATCTCCGGGCTATTGTAAATAGAGCTGCAATGAACATTTTGGTACATGACTCTTTCTGAATTCTGGTTTCCTCAGGGTATATACCTAGTAGTGGGATTGCTGGGTCATATGGTAGTTCTATTTGTAGTTTTTTAAGGAACCTCCATACTGTTCTCCATAGTGGCTGAACCAATTCACATTCCCACCAGCAGTGCAAGAGTGTTCCCTTTTCTCCACACCCTCTCCAGCATTTATTGTTTCTAGATTTTTTGATGATGGCCATTCTGACTGGTGTGAGATGATATCTCATTGTAGTTTTGATTTGCATTCTGTCTGGTCCCATTTTTATCGTAAATGTTGACTTAGTTAACATTGATCTGATAAGAGTTAATTAAAACAGACAAAATATAGGAAATGGAAGCTAGAGGGAGACTTTGTTCACCTGTGTTTCAAATGACTTAACAGATGCTGTGAAACAAGCAGTGCAGAAGCATCTTCTCCAAGGCTGGTTACGTTTCACTGAAGGAAGTATATTAGAGTTGCTTCATCGGTTAGATGTGGAAAATTCTTCTGAAGTGGCAGTCTCTGTTCTCAATGCCTTATTTTCAGTGACTCCTCTTAATGAACTGGCAGAAATCTGTAAAAATAATGATGGCAGGTATGTAAAGTATTCATTATTTGAAATATGATACTGATGAACCTCTGCAATTAAAATTAGTCCTCTTCTGCATTACTTAAGATTGTATCAGTACTTTTTATCTACACGTCTTTTCTTTAGTCTGGTGGATGTCTTTTTTCCCTTTTTTTCCTCCTCGTGTTAGAACTCACTACTTTATCACAGACTACTTTAGCTGCGTTTTTTGTTTTGTTTTGTTACTTTGATTTTTGCATTAGCTTACCATGGAAAGTCCAACAGCATGGATCCCTATTGTGTTTGCTCATTTGATTTTTTTTTTTTTCTCTTTTGGTTTAAATATTTTCATTCTCTTTTGTGTGGATAAGTTAATGACTCTGCAGTTAAAAGGATGGTGTTTATAAATCAAGTCTGCTTATTCCCACTTTTCTACTCAGTTCAAATTTTTACTGGATATTAAGATATATTTTGTCTCCCTTTTAAATGAAGGAAATTGATTCCAGCAGATACATTAACTCCTGAAATTGCTTTGTATTGGCGTGTCCTTTGTGAATATTTGAGATCAAAAGGAGATGAAGGTGAAGAATTTTTAGAGCAGATTTTGCCAGAGCCTGTAGTATATGCTGAGTATTTACTGAGGTAAAATTGTTTTCTTTGGTTTGGGGTGTACTTGTGTTGTACTTGTGTTGTTGTATGTGTTAACTTCCCAGCCCCCTCCCTCAAAGCAATGCTTGATTGAGAATAAGTTGAAAACCATTTTTTTGGACAGGCAAGGATAAATAGGTATACACATTGAGTCTTTCTAAAGAATGTCCTGTGTTGGTCAGTATACTGAAAGACCAAAGTCAATATGTTTTGGGACATTTCCTTAAAACTGGTAAGATGTAATGATGAACATTTCTCCATAAAGTTGATGATGATGATGTGTTGCTGTTTGAAATTGGTTGGCAAACTGTTTCTGAGTGCCAGACGGTAAATATTTTAGAGTCTGTGGACCATGCTCTCTGTCGCAACGACTCAGTTCTGCTGTGGTACTGCAAGAGCAGCCACAGAAAATATGTAATGAATAAGTGTGATTGTTTTCTGATCAATCTTTCATCAACTTTTATGGACACTAAAATTTGAATTTCATATAATTTTCACATGTATATATTTTTACACATATTTACATATATATATCATTTATAGATGTAAAAATCTTAGCTTGCAGGCTGTACAAAAACAAGCAGCAGGCTCTATCTGGTGCATGGGCCATAGTTTTCCAACTGACAGGGTGGACCTCTGGCTAGTTTTAGTATTAATTAAAACTGTTACTGTTTGGCTTTTGTTTTTTAAAAAGTTTTTTCAAAATATCTTTTTCTTAAATTATTTGAATTACTCTAGTTTCTACTTAGTTCACTTTAAAATTATACAAGTAGGGTTTCCCTGGTGGCGCAGTGGTTGAGAGTCCGCCTGCCGATGCAGGGGACACGGGTTCGTGCCCCGGTCTGGGAAGATCCCACATGCTGTGGAGTGGCTGGGCCCGTGAGCCATGGCTGCTGAGCCTGCGCATCCGGAGCCTGTGTTCCACAAAAGGAGAGGCCACGACAGTGAGAGGCCCGCGTACCGCAAAATTATACAAGTAAAACATGGATGCATTTTTGTCAAAATTCAAATACAGAAGTATACAGAATAAAAATGTGGTATTTCCTCTTACTCCTAATTCATCAATCCCATTAATCTCCTTAGAGTTAACATCTAAACAATTTGGGGTATACACTTTCAACCCTCTTTCTCTACATTCACATACACATATACTAAGTGCATGGTTTTTAAAAATATAACACACTATACATATTTTGGTTTTTTTCAACTACTATCTGAGATCATTATATTGGTACATATCAGTACAAATCTATCGCAATTTTAATAACAGTCTATCACTCCGTAGTATGGTGGTAATGTTTAATTTACTTTTCTGTTGATGGACATTTAGGGTGTTTTCAGTTTTCACTGATGAAGGTGTTTTAAACTTTCTTTACATTTTTATGTATGTTTGGGATTTTGTAGGGTTGATTCCCAGAAGTGGAATTGCTGGGCCAAAGGTTATATATTTTTTTAATAGATATTGGTGTGTAGATTTTTAACTTCATGATTTTGATGCATTTTTAAAAAAGCTTTACATATAATATGGATTATGGGCCTGAATTCTCTTGGTGTGAAATATAGTGTCCTGCTTTCGTGATAATGGCCCCACATATAAGTTATAATGGCCCCACATATAAGTTAGGGAGCAAAGCTAAGAACATATTTGAATTTTGTACGCAAAACATTGAATCCATAAATATCTTAAATGTGAGCCAATATGGAGACTTATAGCTTGAGCTCATAGTAACATGAAAAATGTGGGAATCTACTTAGAGTTTTAAGGGTAATTATTTCAGGCTTTAATATTTAACTGGAGTATTCATTATAATGCTGTTTGGGCCATGTTGAAATTACCCAAAAGGAATGAATTTTGATGCAATGCTTAATAATATATGTTTATATAAAAGTAATAAGTGCTCATAGAAGATTTAAAAAATACAAGAAAATATGAGGAAATGTTAAATATTATATTTAAATAACAGAGGGTGAGCATCTCAAAGACTGGTTCACAGATTGATTAATTCTTAGTTACTGAAAATTGACATGTAAAAAGCTTGGTTCCTCTAACTTTAAGAGGTCAGGGATTCTTATATTTCCTTTGTCACTTAATCTGTGAGTTTTGAAATAAGTTACTTGGATCAACTTGTTTTTTTCACATATAAAAAGGAAAACTTTAAAGATCATATTTAATTATTGAAAGAATACTTAAGAAATAGGATGATTTTCTTTTTGGAGCAGTGTCACTAGATAGGATTCGTTTTCTCAAGAACAGAAACAAAATTAAATGGAAAAATTGTTTCTTGATAATCTCAAGTGTATTCTCAGACATTTTGTAGCAGGAAGTTAGTGACTCAGAATGCTGATACAAAATGATTTCTTGTTAATTGAGGTGTTCACATAAAGAGAGAAATCGGGGATGTTAAATGAGGCCTATCAAAATTGAGTAAGAAAAAGGGACACTAATAGAATTTTAAGAAAGCTACCTTAAATTCTTAGAGAGTTTAAAAAAAGACTTTCTTGAGTGGTCTCTTCATTATAATGACTACCTTTAAAAATGGTTGGAAAGAGACGATTTCATGGTAATTAAAATTGGTAGGTCGATTTTAAGTTGTATTTATGCAGTTCAGGATTTGTAATTATTAATGAAACAACTACTCTTTAGGTATTTTAAAAAATAAATTCAAAGTCTTGATACTATGCATTGTGCTAAAGCTGGGACGGAGAAGTAGGAGGGATTCAAAGGTGAGTGAAGGTTTCTTAGCTTGTCAGAAATCAGTAATTCTACTGATTTATTGTTTTTGATAATTATCAGTTTTGTAGCTTTGTTTAGTTTCCTGCTGGAATTCAAAGGGTGGCTGATGCCCTTGAAGGTCCTAATATCATTGCCAGAGATTTATGAGCTTTTATTTAATCTTGGCTGTCATTTTATGAGTCAGTTCATTTATTCATCATTATTCTGCAGTGTTTATAACTTGATTTTTGTTGACAATTTAAAATGACATTTTTCATCAGGATTATCATTTCATATATTACTTGCAACCTAAAGGCACCTAGTTGTATAGGTTTAAACTCTTAATTCTACTTAAACTCTTAATTCTGTTTTTAAGTAGCTTTTTTTGTTCCACACAAAAAAGGAGACCATCTGGTAGACTCTTGAACGTTATCTAGGTGAGGGGTTGTAAAAGGCTTTAATTTGGGCAGTGATAGTAAAAATAAAAGGGTAGTTGATGGTGCTTGCTTAGTAGCACCTACACTAAAATAAGAACAATATAGAGATTAGTAGGGCCCCTAAGCAACGGTACTACAAATTCATGAAGCTATCTATATTTTTCTGACTTTTTTAAAAAGGTCATTGTATTCATGCATTTCTTATGTAATTACTATTTCTACTACTATTCTTTTAAACAAAATAATGGTTAATTAAGGATGATGAGGGAAGACTGGCTCTTTCTGAATAATTGGATTTTGGAGAAGGGATTTAGAACTTTATAATTGAGAATACTAGTGATATTGAAATAATTAGTTATTTTGAGAGATACAAATATGTACCTTTTGAAAATTTCCCATAGGAAATTTGAATCTTTAATGAAAATATATTTTCCAAATTCTTTTGAATCAAGCCAGTAAGTTCACAGAAGTTCATGACAATAACACAGAAGTTACTCTGTAGATCTGGATTAGTATAACATGGTATAAATATCCATATATTTGGACTGATATGAGCAGAAAATGACCTTTTCTGACATAATGGGGGAGCTGTTTAATGTTTAATGTTTCTAAACAGATTCTACATCTTATTAATTGTGCTTGTTTTAGTTATATTCAGAGCATTCCGGTTGTTAATGAAGAACAGAGAGGTGATTTTTCTTATATTGGCAATTTGATGACAAAAGAGTTTATAGGTCAACAATTGATTCTAATTATCAAGTTTTTGGATACCAATGAAGAAGGAGGAAGGTACATTTAAATGTAAACCCTTGTTCTAATTTGCGCTTCTAATTTTATGTGTTGAAATATAGTCTTGTTACAATATATTTAAATATATTTAACCTAGCTCCCTAAAGTGTTATATGAAGTGTTCTCTTTCCTCTTATATAATATATATGGAGTATGTAAGAGAAAATATATTTATATACCGTCTCTCTTTCTTTCTCCTAATTTCTCTCTCTATATATGAATATATGTATATCTGGAAATATAAGTTTCTAATTGAGTTCCTTCAGAATAAATCAATAAAATTACAGGTTTTTGCTTAAAATTTTCTATTAGTATTACTAGTCCTCTCTATAATAAATACAGTCTAACAGATTTGATTCACTTATGGTATTTTGTCATTTCATCATGTTGATTTATGAAAGATTATAGGGCCATTTATAATTTTTTTTTCAGAGCGTGAATTTTGGTCTAAAGTCTGTACATATATTTTTGTGCTTATAGTGATAAATATAAGAAAAGAAGACAAATTAAGTCTGTAATTAAGTCTGCAGAATAGGTGAAATGTTAGAGATATAATGTGTTTCTACTTTTGTACTGAAATTAAAATAATTCTTTTTGAATGCAGGAAACGACTGCTGGCTATCTTACAGGAGATTCTTACTCTACCCACCACTCCAATATCCCTAATTTCTTTTCTTGTTGAGAGACTGCTCCACATGATTACAGATGATAATAAGAGAACACAGATTGTAAGTAATTTTCTTCATTCTTGATAGAAATAAAAGGTTTTGGTCAATAACATTGAGGGTTGTCTTATTCTCTTTTCATTACTTTTGGCTTTATTTGTCTTTAATTGCTTTTGTTTTAGTTTTGTCTATTTATCAAGTCTTTAAACTTCTTAAAACCAAATCTCTCTCACACACACATTTTAAAAAATATCTCCTTTCTTTTACCATACCTATCATTGTGTTGAATCAGTTTGAAATGGAGCAGGTTAGGGAAGAGGTGACATATAGGCCTTGGTTGCTAAAAGGTTTGAGGGCCGACTGAATTTATACATACCTGGGTTCAAATCCCCTCGGATGCTTTCTGGATTTGTGGCTTTGCCTGAGTTATTTAATTTAGAATTTTTACCTGTCTGCAAAATAAGAATAACAGTGAAATTTATCTTTCATTGTTCAATGAAGCAATGTTCATAAAGTGCTTGGTAAATACAGAAATAAATATTATCTATTATTTTACTATATTCAAGTGTTATTTTCTCTGGGGTAGCCCAAAAGGAGAGGCCTGTATCGTTGATTTTCATAAAATCGTATAGTCTTGGAGTTGCGAGTTAATTCAAAGGTTGTCTTTTCCACTCCTTCCGTATATAGATATACATAACATAAATTCTTTCTACAACATCCCCAGTTAGTGGTTATCCAGCACCTGCATAAGGTACCTTCCTTTGGGATGCAGGTTTTTCCTGAATTGGCCAACTCCAACGCCTAGTGGCTCTGAAAGGAAAGTGTTTAATTTGCTGTCATTATTTATGCCTTGTATACCCAAAGGAAGAATAAAAGAGTATTCTAATTTTTTATATTCCACTCCCATTGGAGCTGAACAAGGGAGGGAGTTGAGGATTTTAGGCAGAAAATTTTAGTTTTATGGTGCCTAAGATTAGATGCTCTTTTCATTTTTTTCTGTTTTAAAGCACTATATGAAAGAGAATTTATCTTCAATGTCTATGTGCCTATTTACCTTCCCATAATCTTAAGAGTTTTTAGTCAGATGTATTGTTTGGTCATTTTTTTCCTAAAATTGTCTAGCAAATAGAATGTGTGCCATTTTTGATTGTATATTTTGCTCTATTTTTCAAGAGATTGTGGATACAGTTTGGAGTTTTATATAACAGTTTGATGTCATTTTCTGATATATAACATATATTAAAGCATGTATTCTGAATTATAACTTATCAGGTTACAGAAATTATCTCAGAGATTCGGGCACCCATTGTTACTGGTGGTGTTAATGATCCAGCTGATGCAAGAAAGAAGGAACTCAAGGTAACTGTCTTCTAAATTAAAGAAATGCTTGAATATATTGTAGTTGCACAAGTCTTTTATTTCTTCTTGTACATTTTCAAAATTGCACAAAGTCAAATTATTGATTAACTATTAAACTATATAAGAGTATCTAAAATGTTATCAGATTATGTCAGTCTGAAAGATTTGCCAATCTCTGTTTCAGGAAGACTACCGCTTTTTCTGTATGTACCTGACTGCTTAACTTGTAGATGGTTGAAATGGTTTTAAATAATACTCTTTAGTTTGCTACAGATTTCACATTAATAGTTTTTGTTTGGTGTTTACATAATTTATATCTTTTCTTAGATGGCTGAAATAAAAGTTAAACTTATTGAGGCAAAAGCAGCTTTGGAAAATTGCATTAACTTACAGGATTTTAATCAAGCATCAGAATTAAAAGGAGAAATAAAAGCGTTAGAAGATGCCAAAATAAACCTATTGAAAGAGACAGAGCAACTTGAAATTAAAGAAGTCCACATAGAGAAGGTATAGAAACATTTTTCATATTAAATTTCAGCTACTGTTAATCATCTCAACTAAACCTTGTTTTCTTAACTCAGCTGCTGGAATATATTCACTTAGGAGGGATTTTTTTTTTTTTTTTTGCGGTATGGTATAGATAAGATTTCTTGTTGATGTTATATACTTATATAACTGTATATTACATTCAAAAATTACATATACAATAACAAATAATGGCAGACTTTGAACTGGACCTTTATTTTTATTTTATTTTTTTTTTTTCCTTGCGTTATGCGGGCCTCTCACTGTTGTGGCCTCTCCCATTTGCGGAGCACAGGCTCCGGACGCGCAGGCTCAGTGGCCATGGCTCACGGGCCCAGCCGCTCCGCGGCATGTGGGATCTTCCCGAAACGGGGTACGAACCCGCGTCTCCTGCATCGGCAGGCGGACTCTCAAGCACTGCGCCACCAGGGAAGCCCCCTAGGAGGGATTTTTAACAATACCATGAACTAATACAAAAATAATATTTTTCCGCCTGTTCCTTTCTATTTTGGACTTCGAAAGGCTTTAATGAACTGTAGCTAGGACTTTATTTGATTTGCTCCCTTGTCATGCTAATCCCTAGAATCTGAAGTCTTTCTTCCTTGCCAAGGAAACCTGCCTTCCAGTGGTTTCCTTCTCTTTGTTTTGTTTTGTTTTGTTTTGTTTGTCTTGAATGGTTTAGAAAAGGAAAATGCATCTTTCTCTTATTTGTGGAAGACTCATGACCTTCCCACTACTAGGGAAAG